TATTTTCTTTGATTTTATGCCACACCATTGTTCACTGTAACAAAATATTATGCAAAATGAAAAGCTAGAACCTTCCTAATAATTACCATGTTTTATTTTTATTTGTACTGTATTTCTTTAAGACGCAGTAAACTGCTGACTGGTTATGAGGAAAACCACTTACTGGCGTTTCCTCTTATGATGTCCGCATTACAGAGTTTTCTCAGCTTCATTGTGAAAAAAATATCGATGAAAAGCTCATTATACACGCGTATTTCAACAATTTTGCAGGACAAGAATGGGCTGAATTTGTAAATAAAATTAGCGTTGAAAAACTTGCCCAGGATGCATCAAGGGCATGAATAACATCCAATATGCGCTGTTGCTTGAGCTATCACATCAGGCCACTGATTAGATCAGACGGGTTTTAGTCACAAAACACCCCATATCCCGCGAGTACAGTGCAAAAGATAAAGTGAAAGTTGGCAACGCTTCGAAGGTCACCGGCGTAAAAGACCTTCCCCAATTTGTATAGTATAGCAAGCGCCCGTAATCTCAAGATTGGCAACTAATTTCCCGGGAACGACAACATGATCCCCGCATGTGGCAATCAATAACCCAATTCCGAATTCGTCAGATCCCCGAGACCGATATATCCTATTGCTCGGGATCTCTCTTGCTCCTTCATCACCCCGCGACCCCCGCGATGAAAGACAGACAAATCCGCCATTCGCTCATGCGAGTATCCGTCAGCTCTCCTCGCCGTCTATGGCATCTCATCAATGTGTTAACGAGTCCTTCCCGGGAAATCTAATCAACACTACTAGCTTCTGTGCGGCCCAGAGGTTTTTCTTAATCTTGTCGTCAGTTGCACGCAGAATCGGTTATGTATTACAGTGAGACCCCCACATGCGGACGCCTCGACCTGCGGACAATTCTACATAGGGACACTTATTTTCCCAGAAAAAAATAAATAAATAAGGCCTGACGTGAGGACACTGACTCGACATAGCATTTTGTGATAAAAAAATTGCAAACACATTTCAGGCCAAATTACAAGAAACAGATATTTCAAACGGGTGTAGGACAATTCCCCCGGTTCTAATTCCCCCGCCTCTATTTCCCCCAAATAATAATCCCCGATTTTAAAATCCCAGGTCACAAAAATCCCCAAAATTAAAATGCCCAATTTTTAAAATCCCCGGGTGTTATTTTCCCCGATTTTAATTTCCCTGCTTTTTGTTGAAATCCCCCATAATAAAAATCCCCAATGTACAATTTCCCCCGAAAATAAAAATCTGATGGTTGGACAATTGCTTTTCTTATTTCTGAGTGACAAAAATTGAATTTAACAAGTATAATTGAATAACAATTAAAATAACGTAAAACTGAAAAAATGTAAAATTTGAAAAAAAGAAACAAAAAAGTAAAAATTGAAAAAAACAAAATATTAAAAAAAAGCCGCATCAGCAAGAAAAAAAATTATTAATTGTATCTTAGTTTCACTGCTTTAGCTGTTTCCTTCAAAAATTTTTCCAGACTAATTTTGTGCCTGTTGAACAATTGACACAGATTCTTCAGATTGGCATCCCTCTTCTTCTGCTTACCTCAGGGTAGAAAAAGGGATTTGAGGATAAAGTTGGGGAAAAATCCAATTTTTTTTCTTTTTGCACAGAAAAATTTTGTGGGAAAATGAAAGAAATCCTATGCTAAGCAATGGGCTTTCTCTTGGATTAATCCCAACTTTGCCTCAGCCCACCTGGAAGGTCTTTTCTGACCGGCCTTCAGAAAACTTAAAACACCACAGCATACAAAAATAATCCGATTTCGGCCAAATTTTTTTCATTTTTGGTGATATTTTGTATATTTGGGGATTTTGCATTTTCGGGTATTTTAGTAAATGGGAATTTTTATTTCAGGGCAATTAGACACCGGGGGGAATAAACGTTGGGGATTTTAAAAATCAGGGATTTTAGGATCGGGGATTTTAGAGCGGGGGGAATAGAGGCGGGGGAATTAGAATTGGGGGAATTGTCCGTTTCCCATTTCAAACCCTAAAGTTGATGTACGAAAAGTTCTTGGGCATTTCTCTCACCAATTTATCATCAATTCAGCTAATAAAAAAAATTACCTCCAGCACAGAGGGACTTTTTAATTTTTTTTTACTTGAATGTTATTTTTGTACATGCCAAAATTTCAGTGTACAGTACAGAGATACACTATTCAATGCTCCAAATGTTCTTATTGAGTTGAAAATGTATTCACTAATTCAAATTCAAGTGGCAAAAAATTTTTTCAGGGAATTCCAAAGAATATTTCTTCCACAAAACATCANTAATTCAAATTCAAGTGGCAAAAATTTTTTTCAGGGAATTCCAAAGAATATTTCTTCCACAAAACATCAATTAAAAATTATATAATGTAAGTCTATGGGAAAACAAGACTTGACTTGGGGACATTTTGACTTGGGGAAACTCTTGATTCACCAATTATTTCCGCATCTCGGGGTCTCACTTATCCTCCTTGCCTTTCAAACGCCCTCCAAGGGCGTCTGCGGAACAACAGAGCATATATACGAACCATGATGATGAAAATGAGTGTCAAAATGCAATGGGGACCGACAATCGAATGCTGCCCTAACATTTGATTCATGTATTCTTTATATTAAATGTAAGTCTGTCCATATATATACGCATTGACAATAATATTCCGCGAGAACGAGGGGTCAAACACAGCATGCTCTCAGAATAGAAATGGAAACGACTAGGATTGAGCTAAAAAAACAATTATTGTTCAGGAAAAGCATTCCTTTCCACAAGAAAAAAAATCAGCCCTGTTTCAAAAAAGTTCCAGAAAATGTTTGCAAAAATTCCCTTCTTGGCAGCTTTCTCATCTTCGGCTAAAAAGATGAGGCGCCCAGTATCTGGTAGATTTTTCGGTGTACCCCAGCTTTCCCTTCAGAATTCTTGAAATTGACAAGGCATCAATTCCAAAGGTTGCCGCCATTGATTGATCATATAGATTCCTCCATTTTCATGGAAAGCCGCCTTTTTGGGATGAGAATGATGTGCTGGTGGCTAACAATGAAAATGGCAGAAATACCTTGGGCTTGGAAGACCTGCTGGAGGCAACCCTTCAAATTAATCCCATGTCAATTTGAAGAATTTTGCAGGAAAAGGGTATTCCAAAATAACTATGAGATGTGGGCGCATCATCTTTTGAGTGAAGATGATGAGAAAGCTGCCAAGAAGGGGACTTTTGCAAAAATGTACAAAAAAACTATATTAAATAAGGCTGAATTCTCTCTTACGCCACAGAAATTTTTTTTCTGAACAATGCTCGTTTTTCAGCTTGATCATGTATAATTATCCCGAGAACTTTTGTTAGACCCCTCGCATAAAAACAGCTCATAGAAATTTTCAGAATAATTTAAAATTCAAAATGTATTTTTGAATACATTTTGTGGAATGTATATTCCTCAAACTGCTGCATCATGTACATTAAGTCAAAATCGATCTTGTATAGCGTAATAAATATAATCTAAACTTTCCCAATGCAGGTTAATTTTGTGCTTCTTATTAATGGTTTTTCCAAAATAAACTGTGTACAGTATACTGCAATACAATAAATACCGGTATTCCAATATAGGCTTGTTCTGTTGCCTTTTAGACTTTTCATGTCAAAAGTGCTGATTCTGTTCGGTTTTCGTTTGCAAAATTATCTTCTCCATCTAATAATATACGAAATACTGTATATGGTTATTGTACATTTTGGAGAACGTTCTCAACTGTTCTGCCCAAGTTGAGCAGCGACTATGAAAATTTTAAGTCAATTAAAGTTTACGGGAAAATGTGACGGGACGTGTCACCTGCCGCAGTTCCGACAGCATGGACTCAGTTCGAGAAGTAATTAAATTTACATCTCCGCGGGCCCCACTAGCTGTTCATGATGGCATGTCTGCAACAAACATATTGCTAGCGAGCTTTAGTAATTTTTTTGTCACATGATGGAAACCATACTTTTATTTCGATGAAAACAATTCATGTGAGATTTAGTTACTTGCATCGTAAACATGATGTCTTTTATCGTCACATACTGTATACAAATGGGCTAGATTTGATTTTAACGCGAGAAATGCGTGGAATTTGTTCTTACTTTGACCATCAAAAAAAACTTTTCCCACGATTCATTTATATTATGCTTAAATTGAATATTGCCAAAACCCAAAATCGAAATATAGATCAGCACTACGAAGTCGCAGCACGGGACATGCATGCATGATGTCATGAAGAATTTTCCAACCAAAATTTACTGTACTGTACTTGGTCACCTGTTCTACTGTATAATGCTTTCTTTGCCTGAGATTTCTCTCGAATCAGAGCTGATCTCGTGCGATAAGGCCAATGGGAAGCATTCAGGCAATCAAGAATGATGGCACCTCATCACCTCAACATTATTAGTGGCACGTTAAATTTGTCATAAGAACTCTAAAACTGTACCTGGTGATAAAATTAGGCATGAATTTGAAATGAAGATCACCATTTACACTTGAATCTTGATATTTGGAACATTCGCAAATCAAATACGCCTTCATATTTAATTTTCTTTCAAACCCCTGCATGAATTACTTTAAGAACCATGCATTGTTTAGACCTCTCAAACTAAGGCTTTCCCCATAAACATCTATAACTCAAATGTTATGGAGGCTTTGTGCTGATATGTCAGATACTCAAGAAGGAGAAATGCAATAAAAATTTTAATGAATGCCCTTCCAGGAGGAAGAAAGTGACAAATGAACCCTTGTATCAAAGTTCATGATGTCAACTCATTTGACCATCAAATCAATGTCCAGAATAACACCATCAACGTCCTATAATTTTCATCCCCGTACACCAGCAAAAATGTTTGTTTCACTAACTTTAAACCTCTCTGAGTGGAATTTTCTGGCTGGTCCAGAGTTTGGCTCAAAGAGGTCCGACTGTAGAGAAATGAATTAATGATAATGAATAAATGAAAGGCAGTGAACGGAAACACCACTAGAAGTGTAATTCCTCCCACGAATTCATAAGCGTCTCACACGACACACACACCATACAACTGAGTTCATGAGGCTCCTTTGGTACAATTTCAGTCAATGACCGTTTCCAGCTCATCAGCTTCCATCAAGGTCCCATTCCCTGGAGGAGAGCTGCCTGGGGACCCAGCGGCTTTGGAAGCGCCGTTCACTGAAGGCTTGTAGGGGATACCACAGTTCAAAGATCCCAAGTCTATCAACAGCTTTTTCAAGGCCGGTGTTGCTGTCACCACATCTGGGACACCTTGCAGAGTCTGTATTAACAAACGGACATTTTTCTTGTTGTAAAGTACATCTCAACACGGATTGTTACTTCAGGATACGGCTTTGGAACTTGAATGGTAGCTTTCGACAAAAATCTGCGTAACGAAAATCGTGGGAAGCTTCAAAAATTCTTTTTTTTTTTCTCATAAAACTCAACGCCGAAATTTTATTTTGGCGCGTCCGAAATATAGCGACAAATTCCGCTTCAACATATGAGTAATATGCATCACTTCCATTCTTGTTCCCAGAATTAATCGTATTTTTTGGAGTAATTCCTCACTTGACATTATGAAATAAAGAAATATCAAGTATTGCCTGGTGAACACAGCTTAAGTCAGGAAATATTTTTTCTCTTCGGACAAAAAGGTATGCGAACGGCAAAAATAGCTCTCTCAAGGCTGGGCTTTTTTCTCAACCAGCAACTATACAATATTTGAGGGTGAATTTGAGGGTTTGCTGGACATTGCCAATTTTGCTCACTTGGCTTATTCAATATTGCCTGACTTATTCAGCCCTTGTGCTCTAGTGCAATTTTCATGCAGAAAATTGGTAAGATCAAAATGCCTTAGCATACAAAAAAAACCTGCACTGCTGGGCAATGGAAAACAACCCTGTCACAGATGGGAACATTGTTTATTTATTTCTCCCATTTGGCGAGGAAGTTTCAAAAAAGTCCACAAAACATTTAATGATGTTTTTCTCTTAACTTTGATGCAGAAAAAAAAAATGCGCAGAGAAACTCACGGAGGTTTTGTACCGTGTCGGGGAAAAAGGTGTTTTTTTTTTGCGGGGGATAGGAAATTTATCTGAAACTCACCATCACAACTCTGTCCATGGCATCATCCAATCTGGAAAGTTCAGCTTCAGCCCTGCGCCAGTTTTCCAGCAGAATTTGTGCATGTCTGGCATGCCTCTCCTCTTTCTCGCGCATCTCAGCATCTTTTTCCAGCAGCTTCAGCTTCGTCCTGGACATCTGCAAAGCGCCCTTCATCATGAATTTACCACGAAGAAAACGGAAACCTCCGGTACACACACACCTCACTCTTCATTGACAACAAAAATGCATCAGGCTTATCTCCGGGACTTTCCAGAAGCTTTTTCTCTGAGCCCTGCGGGCTGTCAGTACCTAGTGAAAAATGGCTAGATGCACCATTTACAGGCTTTGGAGAAGCCGTCGCGCTCCTCAGTGTTGCCATTTCTCTGTCCCTCGCTTCAGACAAAGTCAAGAGATCGTCTCTCTCCTGCTTGAACTCGTTCGCATTCCTCTGGGCGATTGCCCCGATGATGAGAACATTTTTCAGGAATTCCGACAGAAGTGCATCGATTTCCGTCACTTGTTCTGACAAGGTGTTTCCAGAAGCATTCTTGGGCTTCTCGGGAAGGAGGTCGTCTTCTTCTTCTTCCATCACCGACTCCAGCATGTTGCTGGAGGCACACATGAGGTCTGACTTTGGCTTCGGCGGTTTCTGTTTCATAGGACCTTCTCTCAGAAGCTTCGAGAGCTCTTCTGGACCCACCAGTTGCTTCAGCAATTCGCCAAGTAAATTTCCTTCCTGAACGCACCGAAACATATAATTCTCACGTAATCCACGATTTCCGGAAATGAATATGTATAAACTCACAGTCATGAAGTCGCCGCTGGAATTTTGCGCAGCGACAATCACTTGATGCAAGGAAGACACTTTGAAGGAGAGATTCTCCAAGGCCACCGCTGATGAAGACAATTGGGCTCCCTGGTGTAAAAGCATTTCCTTGGCTGATGATGTCACCGAGTCCTGATCACCATCTGTTCCATCTCCAACCCCTCGTTCTTCAAAAGGAGAGCTGCAATAAATGTCGCCATGGTTTTACAATTTCAAGGCACCGAAATAAAAAAGGCACTTGGGATCTTGATTCCTCACCTTCGCTCTTCAACACTCGAGAGTTGCATTAGTCTCCCACACTTCAAGGTTTGTTCCTGCAGCAGTTTGTCCTTTTCTTCAGCCTGGAATCGCAGTTGGTTCATCTGCAATAAAATCATAATTTCAAGACCGAAGAGTCTTCAGAGTGAGAAAAAACTAGATGAGCTTTACGGTTTTCTCAGCCTCTCTTAAAGCATCCTGCAGTGTATTCTTTTCACTTTGCAAAAAGTCCTGCAGTTCTCTGGACTCGGCTTCCGCTTCATGAAGTTGCTGAAAAAGAGCCTTTTGAGCAGTCAGACTTTTCTCCAAGTCCATCTGCAAGGCCAAAATGATGTTCTGGTTGGTCTCGATCTCCACTTGCTGATTCAGAATACTCTGCTGCGCAAGTTCCAACTGAATTTCCAAATCAGCCAAGTTGTTGCCTCTGGAGGTGAACTCCTTTTCAACCCCTTCCAGAGAAGATAGCATGCTTTGGACCCTGGTGGAAGTCTCATCCAGTTCCTGTTGGACCTCGTTCTTTATCGCCACCTCTTCCTCCAAGGTCTTCTGCAGCTTCTTCAGCTCGGTCTTCAGTCTGTCCACTTCACCAACAGCAGAACGCAAACGCGCGTAGTTATTTTCCAACCTGCAGTGCTCCAAAGTGAGTCTTTCCAGCTGGTGGGACAAATTCTGGGCATCTGCTGCTGTGTAGTTCTTCGTCGGATCATAAAAGTTGATCTCTGCTTGAACCCCGGCATCAGTAGTAGGTATTGCCACACTCACGACCTTCGACCCCGGGGTCACTAATGACGATTCCATGTCCTCCAGAGTCAGCAGCGTTTGTGTGGCATTCTCCAAGTAGATAACGGGTCTCGGAGGCTTCGTCGGAACTTTCGCTGTAAAACATACCGATTCACGTCACGAAATAAACATTTACACTTCTCACACGGTGAATACAAACAAACCTGGCTCTTTTTTAGAACGATTGAAACCAGGACTAGGAGCCCTTGGGGTCGAGGCAGACCTCTTGACCGAGTTTCCACTCGGGGGTTTTCCATCAACGGAGTCGGGTTTCTTCACCAGGCTCCTGGGCATGGTCTTTGGAGCGAGGTAGACAGGTTTTGGAGGAGGTTTCGGAGCAGGTTTGGTACTCGGTACAGTGTCATGCGCACTATCAGAGCTGTCCGGTGACTGCTGTTTCAGCTTCCCTCTGCGAGGAAGAGTGGCATACATAGAAGCAGACAAACTGCTCGTGCTGCCAGTTTTTGCCACAGGGGACTTCTTCAGGGTGGTTTCTGCTGGTTTCTTGGGTGGCTCTGGCAACTGTCGCCCTCTCTGCAACTGCGAAGTCATCAAACAGTAAATAACCACGGTAAAATCTCGTTACGACGAACTCCCAGGGACCAGAGAAAAATTCGGTTCCCAGTAATGAGATTCATGGTTCTTCCAACATGCAGGACTCGAATTTTGTAGGAAATAGGTAATAGATGCTTTAAACTTTCTGAGCAGTGTTCCCCAACCCATGACTGGCGATGGTCCGCAGAAGTTTATCGACAGTCCACGGGAAATTTTCATTAGGATAATAAATTTATCAAGACTAAGAATGAAGTCTATCTATATCTGAAACTTTTGGATAGACAAAGGCAGTTGAAATTATCTGACAAAAACTAAAAGTTGGCATTTCTCCTAATAATACTTGACACATTTCCCCCCCCCCCCTCTGAAATAAATTAATTTAATTTTTCATTCTGCGAAACCTTTCTTCAAGCACACCTTTCCATTAAAAAAAAAAGAAATTCTAGTACAGTATAGCTGCTTCACTGGATCTTAACTTGATTTTTGAAAAAAATCATTAACTTTATAAATACCTGCCATGAAGTCTTCAAAATAATTTTTTTTAAACCTGCCAACATTTTTATTAAACTTTGCTGGTCTTCAGAATTTTTTTTTTAGATTTGCTGGTCTGAAAACACTTTTATGGAAATTTGCTGGTCCGTGGGCCCAAAAAGGTTGGGGAACACTGCTTCAAGTACTATCACAACAAATAAGTGAAGAAAGTCCGAAGTCCCAATTTTGTTCAATGAAATAGTGGAGAAAATTCAGAATGTGAAAAAGAAATCTCTTATTTCAGACCTTCCCTTGCTTAAATTTTTCCAAAAAATATACGGATCTTGGAGAAGCATGAGCTGAATCAAACAGAAAAGGCATGTGTACACAGATCATTTACTCATCAACAGTTGTACGTAGCCTACAACTGTTGGCAATATCCTTCCAGGCATACTTTCCTTTCAAAAAATCACCCGTTTAAAAATTCTAAAATGAAGTGTCATACATTTTGATTCAAGCTCCGTCATTCATGTTGTGGTAAATTTTCTGTACAAAAAGATTAGCATTTATATATTTGGAAGGTTTTTAGATAATGCACAAGTTGGGTTTTCCCATGTTTTGCCAATTAGCAGAAATTTATATGGTTATGCACACACAACCATAGCAAAATTCGTTACACTGAGATAATAGAGGAAAATTAGTTTGTTCTAAATAAATTATCATAACATCGACCCTGTGGAGACACTGCTGGGACATCGGAAAAAAATTCATTGAAACGGAATTTTGCTTGTGGTCACGAATCATGCTCCAAAAAAAAAGGACACACTCACAGTGGAAACCTTCTCTTCCTTCTTCCCTGCATCGCTCTTGATGCTGCAATTAGAACTCGAGCGCTTCAACGCAGGCTTCCTTCTTGGTAGGCTGTGAAACTTGGTCTCCTCGTCAGGCAAACTATACTTCGCCTTCGGTGGTCGCTTTGGCACTGGTTTTCCACCAGGTTCCTTCATAGACTGCGATCTTGTCACGGCTTTCAACAAAGCTGGCTTCTTCTCAGGGACCTGAAAGAGAATACGACGATCAGCAATGCGATGAAACACGACGTTTCTTTCTTCAAGCTGACTCGACATTATTTTTCTGCATTGATGCATTCATCCGACATGACCCACATAAATTCTAAAATAAAGCTGAACGTGATTGTAAAAAAAAGATGAACAAAAGTTGCACGTTTTAAAGGGGCCATTAGTCTCGTGAACTTTTACGGAGGAAGGGAACATTTAATAATTTCCGGATCATTGTCTCAAACCTCGCTCATCCAAGTGGAAATGAGGATAAACTGCAACAATCGCACGCTTCATGCAATTGCGAGCACTTTGAAGATACATAATTCGGAGATACATAATCCAAGGTATGACAACCATAATTATACATTTTAAATTTCAAAAATGTTGTGTTGGTGACGATGAACGTCAAGGATTCCCAAAATTGCCAGTGGTCAGCAACATGTTGCTCATTTCGAGACAACAATCACAGAAAATCCTCAGCAAATGGTCAGAGGCTTGCGTTATTTTTTATTATTGTTCGGTGGTTGCTCAAATATATGTATTTTTTAATTTAAAGGTAAATACAGAACTAAGTAATCACTTCAATAGTAAGAATCTAGAAAGAAAGAGTACTTTTCAGCGGGTTCAAATTTAGACGTTATGAACTTATGATACCATATTTACCCAAGTACCACGCACACTTTTTTTTTTATTGAGAGGAAAAAGGGCGGTACGCATCATCGGCGGGGTTACAAATTTCGAAAAATGCTAGAAGTTCAGGCGCCTGTCACATTTTAATATAAAGGACAATTTTTGAAATAAACTTTTTTCAAGTATAAAAAAGAAAAAAAAAATTATTTGAATTCGTGCTAAAATTTGAATCCTGGTATCTCTTCTTTAGCCGGGACTGTCGTAGTTTGAGGTGCGTGCTATCTTGGGAATGGGATTTATCGAAATTTTTGGGTGCGGGTCTCACTTGAGGGCGCGTGGTACTCGAGTAAATACGATATTTCGGCGACCGATAGTCATTGACCATGGATAAAAAAAAAGGGCTGAAGAAGGACCAATATAGCAAAAGGGAAGTACTGTACAGTGCCATGGAGCAAAATTTGAGCAACACTCACCTGAGGTTTTGGCATGAGACTCCTCGGAATGGTTCTTTGCTCATCTAGCAAGATGTTGGCAGCATAGGGTAAAGACGAGGTAGAGTATAAAACTGGATCCATGGGCTTGGGCGGCAAGAAACTCTGCACAGTGCCTCCAACCAGGAACCCTGGCTTGGGGTCAAGTTCCTGCATTGCAGCGCCATCTGGAACACTCCGTGTCATCAAGTCATCCATCCTGAAACACGCAAAAATATAAATCCACGTGAAGCAAATACCGGATTAGAAACACAATCCAAGGATTCTCAGGTGTTCTCCTGATCCTCTCGGGTTTCCGGGGGGATGAGACACAAGTTCTACACGGGTCATTACCTCGAACAATATTTTTGGGGGGGGGGACACCTCGCAGTTCCCAGGGCGGGATGGAAAATCGGTAAGCGAGGAAAATTTGATTAAGGGAAGCCAAGCTAATGTTCCAAAACGCGGCAGTTTCCCGTTAAAAGTTCTCATAGAATCCGTTCCAGCAGAAACGCTTCTCACGGTCCCGAAATTCCGGAAGGAAACTCGACATCGTTCAACCTTTTCCGGCTGAAATTGCATGTCAAAACTGCAAGGGATCTCCGAGAATTCCACGCCACTCGTACGCTAATCCTCACGAAGTTGAGCACAAATCATATTACTCAATCAATTCAGACTCGGAATTCGTAGTGAACACGAGGGAGGATTATCACGAAACGCAATCCTCGCGTACAGCTACAAAGTACGAATAAAAATGCTCATTATTCGTGCTTACTACGGAAAAATTCGGGACTTCGCGTCGCATCTGTCGCAGCTTTATCACGGAATCAGGAACGTTCAGTCGGCACACGAGCACGCTAATTACTACTAGTCATCAAGTTTCTGAAAAGTTCTTCAGTTTTTCACACGCGACTTCTCGCCTTTCTAGTAGTAGTGCAATAAAGTCGCTCCAGGCTCGAAATATACCGTCGATTTAACGGAGAGTTACTTGGAAGCATTTCGCAATGATCCGTTCCAAATTCTATCCGAAATGAATCGGAAGCATTCAAGCGTTTATTCCAGATTTTTATCATTTGAATAGCTTACAAATAAAACGATTAGGGAGTCAAACAAGTGACCCAATCGATACGCGTCCAACAGCGTGTATCAGAATAGAAAGTCTTCATAAAGATAAATAATTTGAGTCAAAACAGCGACTTACACGAGTTAATTTTTTCTCTGCTGATTTTTTTTTTCTTATGTGAGCTTGCCGTTCCGAACATCAATTCTTCTGAATACTGGCGCATTTCTCCTTCAATGACTTTCTTATTTGTGTCATTTTCACAGCACACTGACCCAGATGAACAATAATGCGGAGGAAAAAATCGCATCGAATCAATCCTTAACTTAGGACCATAATTTGTCTTGGCAAATTTTGTGGCACTCAACTGAGGTCATAGTATGAGATGAATTTTTAGTTGAGGGTTGCTATAATGTTTGCAAAATAAGCTTGGGTCACAGAATTTTCAGGGCATGCAAGTCTGTTATTTGGAAGATACGAGTAAATTCGGAATAATTTATTTAAAGCTTACATGTGCTGTTTGACACTGTATTTCAATAGTGTGACTGTATACGCATTCAGTAAGATTGAATATACAAGTGGACACCCTCTACAACGATTTTCCCTGTACAATGATTTTTGGTCACAAATGGGTCTCTCACCATGTTATAGGGGTTCTCTACAACTAAATTCGCTCTAAAACAAACTTTTTCTCACGTCACTTGAATTTCGTCTCAGGGAGACAGAGTTCACCTGCAATATATTTTTACACATATTGGGTTTGGTAAGAGAGCAGAGCTGTTTCTTGAAGTTTTGTTCGAGTTTTAAATCAGGTGCCATTGTGCAGGAATCACCCATGTTCCCAGTGAAGCTCCAAAAATTTCTTTTGAAAAATTTAAATTTAGAAATATAATATCATGAGCATGTGATTCTAAGCACTATACTGTAATAAACAAATGAAAACCCTACAAAAGGGCTGTAATTTCTTGAAGTTTGGTCCATTTTCAACCAGTACAACGCACTTTTTGATGCAAATCGAGGTTCCCTTGAAAACACAATGGAGAGAGATTTGTTCCAAAGAAATTTGTGGCGCCATGTGTGGGTGGCACTGAATTGGGGTTACTGTACCCGCATTGCAGCTCCGGGCCTCAAAAAGGGATCTTTCAAATTCAAAAACGTTAACTAGAAGGTTATGAGTGTCAAGAAGTCGACTTCAAGACCTTTTTTTTTCTTCACGGTTACAACTTCGGTGGTGAGAAAATATTCTGGGAGTAGAATTATCTTCAGATAAATGAGAGTTTAATGAAGAGTCTCCCGACAAGATTTTCAAGAGGGAAACGCATAAAAAAATGCAGATTTACAGGAAGTTCGCACCAGCACCGGAGATAAAACATTTCACACTCAGATTCACTTCCACAATGAGTGAAGGACAGCGGAACAAAAGGCTTTCCCAGGGAGAATCAGAGCATCTGCTGATCGGACCTGGAGAAACTCAGACCATTTCCAAGTGTTTGCTGTTCTCAGGGGCGTTGCATTCCTCAGAAACTTCCCCCACCCTGACCTGTTTTGTTTTGCTTTAAACACGATTACAATCCTTGCAAAAACTTCCCACTCAAAATTGCTCAGCACCTGAAGCGCACCTTTTTTGGAATGATACTCACGATTCTTTTTACATCCAAACATACATTATTTTTTCGAAAATCACGTCAAAATCAGTGGGTACTACAGCATCAGTTACGAACTCCTCTTTGCTGGAAACTTCAACATGGCGACACTTTAAACTGTAACTCTTACGCACTGAAGAGCTCGACAAATCGTTCAGGATGTACAGCCAGTTTTCTCGAAAATTATCAACAGTTGCGAGATTTACCGCAGATTTGGTTGAGCTACATTTAAGCCACCATCAGATCACTGAACTCGACAAACATGTCACATCGCATTCCTTAATCTCGAACTCAAGAAAAACGTCGCCCTCCGAGACTAGCCTGCGCATGATCCAGAAATTGTTTTGAGCCGAATTATTGATCTCAATTTCGTGTTGAACTTCGAGGTCAAGATTTACAAAAAGGCTGCAATACAAAATATTTCGTTTGAATTGAACAAACTCCGAAAAATGGCTAGTAATTTCAGGCTGGTTTAGAATAGGTCAGAGTGTCTTGACCTCTCCGACCCTTGGGAGCATTTAAAAGACTATTTCTGCGGAACAACATTTTCGATTAATTTTCAAGATGGAGACATTTAGACCAACGAATTGGCGGAGTATACAATTACAACAGGTATTCCCTTAAATCACACCTGCAGTAGGGCTTCTTTCAATTTATTCTTTCAAGTAGTATCCCCTGTTTTTTTTTTTTTCGAAAATGAGACGCATTCCTTCTCCCCACAAAAAAAGCATTGAAAGTCAAAGCACTGAAGTTTGCACATTTGACGGCGTTTCTTCTTTCACGATTGATATGAAAGATTGCTTTTGAACAACTCACAATTCTTGATCAATCATGCGTAGCTTTCAATTGAACGAAGTCTTGAAAAAATTCTCCCCAAAAAAAGCACAAGATTTGGACCTTACTCTTTGGACTCCATCATACACGAAAAAAGTACTTCAGAGAATAAGCTAATACAGTACTGAGAATATTATTATTATGATCAGCAGACTCTTCTTATTCTGAAAATTTTGAAACTCACGAAGGTGCGTCTTATAATCGCAGGTAAAGTTGTTTCCACCTCAAGAAAAAAAAGGCTTGAACTGTTCAATTCGAGTAATTCTGATCAGTTGGAGCTTTTAAATTTCCGCATTTCAAAAATTTCGAAGACAAGGATAAGGAAACCTAAGACATTCTTTTCTCATTTCCTTCAAATTTCAAGTTTCATGCCAAAATTTCATGAAATTTTAGCGATTTTTTTGGTGCCTAAACATGTCTTTACGTGAGTCACTTTTCCCCTTGAATTTTCTCAAGACGAAATTTTTGATGAACGGGTCTTTCGTCATGATGGGACCCACTTGATAGTTCATGCTTCTTATAATCGGTGGCGTCTGATATGGAGTGTAACATTTTCGCCATTCGCATTTTTATTCATTTTTTCTGGTACCTGGGAAGTTCAGGTGCAGCTTTTCAGGAAACACTAAGAAAAGGTTGAGAACCTCCGGAGTAGATCTAAAACTTTTCGATTCATTTCTATAGTGAATTTTTGTGAAGCTAGGTTCAGTTACACTTGGGTTAGATCGGGCCAGGGAACTCCGACCAGGAATAAACCGGAAAAAATCAGCGCCCAGACAGACGAACCACAATAATCTATTTTTAAAACTAAAAAAAGTGAAATTTACCCGAACAGAAAACCGACATGCGATTTTTCGGGGTTCCTCGACGAAGAAAAATGAAACTCCTGGGAGTGAGGGGTGAGAAGTACAGTACGGTATTCTTTTCTGTGGCTGGTGAGAAGTGACGAAGCCGAACCCCCCCGCCCCCCCCCCCCCCCCTGGAACTCAGCCGGAAGCGGGGAGAAAATGAAAACCTAAACCCCCACCCCATATCGGGAACACAGGCTTTCCTCCCCCCTCTCAGCTCAAAAATAGGTAGGATACACTGCATCCTTAATGTCATTGCGGCAGCTGTTGCCAACTCCCACCCCACTCCTGCTCCAGGGTACACGAAAACTTTCCATTATTCTTCTTGGTTCCGTCTGTCAGACTCATCAGCAGTGGGGTTCTTCACGCGAGACGCTGAGCAACTTCAGAACAGCATCATTACATCTCCAGGAAAATACACAAGTTACAAGACGCAGTAAAGTTCTGTACCATATTAATTCAAGTACCGCATGCACTTTTTTTCTAAAAATGGAGAGGAAACAAGAGGTTGTATGGCATAGGCGGGTGCAATCAAAAGTTTTGGAAAGTTGGAGTTGTTTTCAAAAAGTTTTGGAAGTTTAGATCTGAATTATACTTTGTCTTAGAGGGAAAGTTAGGACCAATGTTATCATTAAAAAAAATACGTTTTACGGAAGCAATTGAAAAATACTGCAGTACAATTCATGCGTCAATTCAAATTTACGTGTTCTCATTTTTGAAATACTGCAGTTTTCGAGTTCCTAAAAATGTGGTGCGCGTCTTCCTTGGGGATAAAAGTTAATCTAAATTTTAGATAGTAAAAGCTGGGTATGCGTCGTACTCAAGGGCGTTTGGTACTTGATTGAATACGGTACTATGACTCCAAAACTGTCTCGCATTCGCAAGAATATTCCAGGTTAAACGGCATAATCCTACACGAAAAGCCTCACCAAACTAACGTAATCCAACACTCAATCAATCAACTTAATCCAACACGCAACGAACGACATGACGTACATCTGACTAACCTGAGGGTTGAGTCAAAATCTCGGAGCTGTCTCGAACTTTAAACGGACATATTTAAGCCTTTATCTCATCTACTCCTAACGACTACGTTATACTTCGTGCATGGATCCACTACATGATGTTTACATTAGTGCTCAAAGGGTGAAGCTCCAAGACGAAAGTACTGTACTTTACCAGAACCATCAAGAAAACAGCAAATTTTTGGATTTCAAGAAGCTGAGACGCAACTTTTTGATTCCACAGCATGATTTTCGGGAGCACACTTTCACTAGCGCAAAACTTGAATGCCCGAGAATAAAAGTTGAAATCACAGCTATGGATGAATTCATGCAAATCATCACTTCAAAATGGCCGAGAAAGCAGAATTCGTGGAGATTTGAAATTCATTATCGGACATGGATAAGCCAGCGTCTCTTACTATGTATAAGAGACCACGTATTTTCAGGCGCCAAAAAAACAACAGAAAATCGGCTGCCTCAAGCACAGCAATTAGAAAAACGTTCAAGGGTGAACCGAGGTATAAACATGAAATTACTTGCAACTAATGACGCCAATCATCCCCTTTTTCTTCATCCAGAACATGAAACTCACCTGGACTGAAGCCAGTCAAGCAGAGCTCCTGGGCAGACAAAGGGAGCAAAAACGCGTTCATCCACATAACCAGGGTTCAATCAACCCTCGTCGCACTGAACGAGAAATGAAACACTTAGACGACCACTTCGAAAATAAAAATACCCGCATCACGATTTTCCAAATCACTGTTTTCCCCAGCCAACGCGACTGGGGTGAATTCGTCTGGCTGCCCTCCCGAACTTGGAAGAAAATCGATACAACAGGGTCACAATAACAAACCGCGGGTTCAATGTTGTTTCTTCCGACCACTTTTTAGAATAATGTCCATACGCACTCATGTAAGAATCGAATAGTCACCACGACACAGAGCAGCATTTCTCAAGCAGCGCTTCACGATCAGTGAAGTAAAATACAAAATGAATAATTGAATGGAATAACTACCGTAATTCATGATGAACGTAATTGAACATGATAAATTCGGTACGAGCGGAGGGAAATGAATTGAGCTCAATCATTGCAGAATTAACAAAACAAGAAGCAAAACTGCAACAGGAATTACCCATTGCACGGACAGGCATTCGCAAGCTGTAATAACGCAAGGAAGGCATACGCGGCTTCGTCAGAAGAACTTTTTCGATCAAGTGTTTCGCCAAAGAAATTTGCTTCAAAAAGGGGTTCGCGAGTAGAGAAGAGTCTCATATGGGATACTCCAATACTGTACAGTATAAGGAATTATAACTCATAACTTCAAAATACATCCAAGTCCAACCAGAGATTTGACACATGAATAAATATGCTAAACACGTATATGACATTCTTGTCGCTTCCTAAGACTGAACAGCACAAAATGCCTAGCCAACTTCTCAAAAAAAAATTAACTTTAGTTGATATGCCGGAGTAATGAGCATGCTCACTCTCGAAGTTCTCGATTTTCCTCTGAAACATTAAAACAAGAAATGTAGGAAACAAATTCGACGTTCTAACTCGTTCATTTTCCGCCAACCCTCCTTTCCAAGCCTATCACATCCACCTTCAAATTTCCTCACACTCCCTTCTCAGTACACTCACGAGGGGATTCGAGGCCGATTTCTACCTCCTCATTTTCCTGCAACATAATGTACTTCGGAAAATACTTCAGCACACTGAACACCCGGCGTTCAGGCTTCTTTCGCCTATTCCTCACAAACGAGGTTGCTCGCCGGACCACACAGTTCCTTCCACCCCAGCTCATGGGAAGCGCAACGCGCGGAGTGCGCTGTCCGCAAAAGGAGGGAAGCGCGCGCGTCCTGTGTACACCAACTGCCCTTCCGAGTGAGGGAAGGAAGTGCGCGCATCGCGGGAGGCGCAAGGTTGCACTTCTCCCCCCACAACCATCGGTGCACTCCCTCGCTCGCAACTATCGGAGGAGTGCGCGTGAATCGTGAGCGAAGGGGAGGGGGAGGGAGGGAGGTAAGCGTACTGCCAAGCTTCTGAATGGCCCAGGACCAGCGGCGGGGTACAGGGTGGTCCAAAACATCCGCGCTTGGAATACAGTAAAGTGGGACCCCAACCTATGGACGCCTTCACTAACATGCAGACAACATGGTTCAGGGCAGTATTCCCTAACCTTTTTGGGCCTGAGGACTGGCAAATTTCCATGAATTTTTTTGTGGACCGGATAATTTCCAAAATATTTTCTGCGGACCAGCAGAGTTTCATAAAATTTGGCACTCTCAAAAATGTTGTTTGCAAGACTTTGTGGCAGGCGTAACAAAAGTTTCTGCTTTGAACAAATTAAGCTAAGAACCAGTAAATCAGCTTCAGTGGAATGTCTTAAAAATTAGAAAGATGAGTTTGAAGAAAGGTTTCTCAGACTGAAAAGTTAAAATAATTTATTTCAGCAGGTTAAAATTTGTCTGCAGCATTATCAGAAGAGCCAACTCTTTTTAACAAATAATGCCAATCGCCACTGTCTTTCCAAAGTTTTAGAAAAAGATAATAGACTTCATTGCTGTGTATAATACATTTATTATGATGAAGAAAATTTCCTGCACACCAGCTGAACATTTCTGCAGACCAGTGCCAGTTTGTGGACCACAGGTTGGGGAAAACTGATCTAGAGAATATTCAACACAGTACATTTGCTCCCATGTGTGGACAATGTTTCAAGAAATGGATACTTTGCCAAAATTTTCAGAAAAATGTAACATTTATAGCATCATTTTTAAAATTTGGATACTGTATCTCTTGAGCCAATTGAGCTACTACAATGGAAATGAACTAAGAAATCTTATAATGAATTAGCTCTTTTTGATTTTTCCTGAACAGGCTAACTTTGGGCTTGTCTTTCAAGGGAATTTTCTTTCAAGTGTGTATGTTTAATTTTGTCTTTTGGATTATTTCCAGATAAAAAGGGAAGCTTCTGTATCATTTACCTCAGCAGTTATTTTTTAAATCTTGAATTTAAGATAACAATCTTATGACATTTTTTGAAGAGCTGTTTCCAAGTGCTTGTCAAACATGAGACTCAGTGATTGAAAATGATTGACATGGTGACATTCCAACATATGGACACAATCTGAGAGAAAATGCATCTGAAAGCCCTAATGTATGCTTTCTGGAAAGCACTTGTACAATGAATGTCTTATCTACCAGAGTACGTCATGCAAAAAACCCTTTGTTTATATACTTTAGCGCCAATTTCCCATAGTGCGAATAACTGGACATGGTGACACTGGATTGAGGGGTGACTGGCATGCATGGGTCACACCTAATTTTGAGAAAAAACTTCGAAGAGAAAAAGCATACGCTCCAGATACTGTATGCGCAGAAAACTGTTGGAAGTAAAACCTTGGGTATGGAGAAGACCATTGCGAAAGAAGTTTCCAAAATACGGTACAATTTGACTCCCCGAACAAGGATTTTTCTCTGGATAATATATTTTTGTCCCATAGTGGTTCTCAACCTTTCCCATCGGGGTTCTCAGCAACATCCTCTCTGCAATTAAATTATTCTTATCCCCCAAATTTCGTTGTAGAGAGTCCACCTGTATAAAATGAAAGAAAGGAATGACAAGAAAGAGAGAGTCCATCTGCACAGAATAAGAATCGTACACTGGGGAATCCGAAAACTTGTCGAGATGTAGACATTGGGCCAAAGGTGATCAACCCAAGTCTTGTTCAACGAAACCCTAGTTTAAAAACAAAACATTCGCAATACCTACTCTAATCCAAAGAAACTCCTGCTGGATTGAAATGAAGCAGCCAAATGCAGTAAAAGCCACCTTTCGACACACTTCGCCTCGTGCATTCTAATTCTCTCCGAATGCGATGCAGAGAAAACTATCACACGTGAGGAACTTCACTGAACATCATTCGCGCAAGAACCGACAATACGTGGTAACTTAGAAAGTCTGATCACTTTATAGCAATGATAAACTAGTGTGGTCATGGAATCAAGGCTAAACAACTTGGGTTCGAAAACCACGAAATATTGTATTCCGGGGAAAACTGCGATGGAGCGAAAGTTCCTCATCGTCTTTTGAAATATAATAAAACTGTCAAATCAATGCACCCAGAGACTTACAACCTCCACTAGGAAAAGGCTGGAAAATATCATCGGTACGTTAATTGGGCCACAATTTCCGTACAGTACTGTATACTATAATACAGTTGCTTCATCAAGGCAGAAGTTTCGCATGCTTCCTAAACACTTACCCATCTAACAAAAAAATCAGCATTTCGGAATGGATGTACAGTAGTCGCAGGAGAACGGAATAAATTTCATGGGGAAATCAAAAAGGGCCGAACGTCGAATTTCTCGCCCGTGATTTTAAAATAAACGCCGAGACTTATTCTGACCCTCAATTTAAAAATGTCAAGCCACTGTGAAGTCCAACAGTCCAACGCATGACCTTTTACAAAATGCGCTCTTGTGGGTCATCGCATGTCTTTAAGAAAGTTTTCTCGACAGTCCCTTGACCTGGCGCACGTTTTCGGACACTCCATCACGGAATCACTAAATGCTCTAAGCGATAAATGCAAGCTACAAAGAAAGCGTGTTTCACGAAACCCACCGGCATTTTATGCTTATTCTTTTCTTTAGACACAAAGCAGTGAACTTCACGGCTTCTTGCGACACCTGTGATGCAAGAAACCTTTTTTCTCGGAGCATTAGCCTAAAATCTTTCCAGAAACTTGTCAATGACGTGACTACGTTCCTTCGTCCGAAATAATTACTGGTCCTTCTCAGCCTGACCTTAACTCGCTTCGAATTACACTCCCAGTAATTGAGTACTGGAATTAATCATTCATTAAAAAAATAACAATGCTGCGCAGAGGCTGATTTTACGCACAAAATGATTACGTCCTTCGAATTCAAGTTCATTCAATTTTCAGCTTCCCGGATTGAGAAAGTCTAGATTTCCAAAAAACTTGCGGCTTCAAACGACGCGACTATTATTCGAAATTTTCAGAAGACTTACTCGTATTTTCTCTCCACTTCCGGTGCATGCCACTGTTGCATGTCACCACCGCTAGGTTCCTCTAATTATAACTGAGAAAACTGCATTCTTACCACAACATTTACACTGAACAGATGTCTGGTGCATCACAATGTTATATCACAACCATCCCGTGATCACACAAAAGTGAGTCGTGAATGTAAGGCGATAATTCTCATCTTGCAGCTGCTGGAGTTCGAAGGGATGATCCATAAGTTATTAGACTGATGTGAATACACCAGAGAAAATTTATTTTCATTTATAAAAAAAAAAAACGAAGCTAACAGCAACATTACTTCTTCATTCAAATGACATTTTACCGGTGATACAGTATACGTAAATTTTACATACAGCTAAGTTCAATGCATTTTTTCAACTGACTGATGAACGGTTCAGTATTTTGACGCATGCTCTTGTACTTTTATGACCACCAGTATTATATACCGAGAGATAAACCTTGAGCTCTCTATTGTATACATTTTACAGCAGTTTCCAATGGCAAATCAATGAATACCACATTTATTCAAGTACCATGTCCACTCAAGTGAGACACACACCCAGATTTTTCAAGCTAAATTTTTTATGAAATCCTACCCTGTAATGAGACGCGCACCCGATTTCAGCGACTTAAAATGCAATTTCAAAAATAATGCAAAATAATTAAAACCTTAACCTGAATTCAATTGAATTTCAATAGATTTATTTCAAAAATTTCTCGACATAATTCGTCGAGAATTTTCCAGTAGACTCACGTGTGACACG